CGTCTTTGGACAGCGCTGGCTCTTTGGCATGGAAACGGAGATGAGCACCGCAACCCTAGAGTCGGATTCGACCGGCTTTCGAGCAAGGGAAACCTTTACCTTTACTAAGGTTATAAGGTCAACAGTTGTAAAGCGATAAATATGTCAAAATAGCAGATAAATGTCTAAAGGTATCTTTTCTGATTGTGGGAAGCAAACCTCTCTCCTCCCAGGCGTGGAGATCACTTAACAGCACTAAACGTTGTTCGCCTTTATGGCGCCACTGGACTTCTCGTTCGGCCCGGAGTGGGTGCATCCCTTGCAGCGCCCCCTGTTGCAAGTGTGCAGGAATACACTCCTGACTGTGATTGTGTGTGTCTGTGTGCAAACCGCAGGTTACAACAACTGGACGAGGAGAACGCGCGGCGGCGTCCCGTGTCTGCGAGCCAATATTGAGCGGCTGGAGGAGATGAGGCCCCTTTTCCGCATGGGGTGTGTGTGTGTGTGTGTGTTCCTCAGGGGTTCTTGCTTTGTGCCAAGGAGAGCTCTATGTTCCCTCTGCCATGGTGGCAGAGGCGGGTCCCAGAGTGCTCCACAGTGGCACAGCGTTCATTACCCCCAGTGACTCAGGACCTTCCCTCTTGTGGAGGGCCCTGGAAGGTTCTTGCTTTGTGCCAAGGAGAGCTCTACGTTCCCTCTGCCACGGTGGCAGATGCGGGTCCCAGAGTGCTCCACAGTGACACAGCGTTCATTACCCCCAGTGACGCAGCACCTTCCCTCTTGTGGAGGGCCCTGGAGAGGTTGCGGTGCTGAATCCGCTCTTCTTGAAGCCTCCCCACTTTCTTTGGAGACGCATATGGGAGGGTGTTAGTCACTGCCTGGGATATCCCCCCACCCCCCCGGCCAAACCAAATACCAGATTTTTCTCCGCACCGTCTTCTGAATGCCTGTGTGTATGTATGTGTTTATACACACACACACACAGAGTCATAGAATCAGAGACTTGGAAGGGGCCAGACAGGCCTTCTAGTCCAACTCCCTGCCCAGTGCAGGATCCGCCTAGAGCAGGCATGCGAACAGGTAGTGATCTATTTTTTCTGGGCAAAAGTGCCGGTGATCAACCTCCATGAAAATAAAGTTTCAAATTAGTCTCAAATTAGATTTCAACCCACTAAAGTTGGGTTCCACCGCCCCCCCCTCATTTATAATGCACCTTCTGTCATTTACTGGTAAGCAAAATAAGCAGAAACAAAACAGAGAGATGAAGATCCAGAAAGAACTGCGAACATTCTTTACCACCAACCATTAAAAAAACCCCCAAACACCTGTCCAACAAACCAGGAGACCAAGTGGGGCTGGTGATCTACCTCTGACGATCTACCTGTTGGACATACCTGGCCTCGAGCATCCCTGACAAGTGTTCCTCCAGCCGCTGCTTGAAGACTGCCAGGGAGGGGGAGCTCACCACCTCCAGAGGCAGCCCATTCCACTGCGGCAGGACTCTGACTGTAGAAAACGTTTCCCCTAAGATCCAGCCGGTTCCTTCCCGCCCTTAATTTAAACGTTATGGCGAGTCCTCTCCTCTGCTGCCAACAAGAACAGCTCCATACCCTCCTCTACATGACAACCCTTCAAATACTTCAAGAGAGTGATCGTGTCCCCCCCCCCCCCCCCCCCCTCAACCACCTCCAGACTAAACATCCCCAAGGAGTCCCTCCGCCTTTCCTCGCGGGGCTTCTTGGTCTCCAGCCCCCCCCATCATCCTCGTCGCGCTCCTCTGCACCCGCTCCATTCCGTCCACAGCCTGTTTGAGGTGAGGTGAGAACTGCACACAGGACTCCAGGGGCAGCCTGACCAATGCAGTGCACGGTGGGACTATGACAGCTTGTGATTTGGATGTTATGCCTCTGTTGATACAGCCTAAGATTGTATTCACCTTTTTTGTTGCCGCATCGCACTGGCGGCTCATATGTAACGGTCAACTCATCCCCCAAAATCTCACTCGCACACACTGCTACACTCACACTCACACTCACACACCCCTCCTGAGGCTTGCCCTGCACGGTCCATTGGGCTGCTGTGGGGACCTAGTAGCTTGCCTCATTCACTTACGTGAGTCGGGGGCAACACTTATTTATTTATTTAGATTTCTATCCCACCTTGCCTGACAATCAGGCTCACTTCAAGAGGGGGTGGGAAGGAGGACCGCTAAGAGGGCTTGACTCGGTCCTGGAAATTGCTCCCTAAGCCAGAGTCTGCCAGGCGAGCCTCTTGTGCAAAAGGCAGGCTGGGCCGCTGCGTTTCCCAAGCTCTTGGCGCACTTTGCGTATGTTGTCAGACAACAGCCCCATGAGGCAGGCCAGGATTGTCAGCCTTACGTCTGAGACAGCAGGAGAGGCCAAGGGGAGGGAGTGTGTTGTCCAAGGTGACTTCTGGTCACTCGGCAAACATCAGCTGAAGTTACAAGGGCAGCCAAAATGCGACCAATCTCACCTTGATCTTGGTACGCCCCTGTATCTGGAACTCGCTCCACAGATTCTATCTCAGTTCTGTTTCATCTGAAGAAGAATGCCTGCCCACGAAAGCTTATCCCCAGAATTAAACTTTGCTGGTCTTAAAGTTGCCACCAAACTCAAACTTTGTCCTGTTGCTTCAGACCAACACGGCTATACCCACCTGAATCTATTTAAGCTAGTTATGGTCAGGGTTCGTTGCAAGCTGAGTGAGCGTGAGCTAGCTTTCAGTTTTTTAGCCTCCGGCTCACACATTTTTTTTTTCTCAGCTCAGGAAGGATGGGGCTCCAGAGCAAACTGATTTGTGCAGCGGTCAAATCACCTGCTCACCACTTTAATGCCAGAGTAGCTCACAAAGTAGAATGTTTGCTCATGAGACTCCACAGCTTAGAGGGAGCACTGGTGGTGGTTTTTCTCTGGGAACCTGCAGCTTGACTATAGGCCCATTCTGCCCTCTAGTGGCCGGATGTGTGGAGGTTTTCACTTGCTGCATCAAAGCCACTGAGGAGGCTGCTGCTCTCTACCTCTGAGGACCCGTACACAAAAGGGGATGCCCGCATCGTGTATTTCGGATGACACTCCCCCCCCCCCCGGGGCATCCGGCGGGGGCCCGCGTCATAGGCCAGAGGTTTCCTACAATCATGGCTCCACTCCTGTCCCTGTGGCTTGGGGGCAGGCCTGGAGCAACTGTGGGGCACTTTTGGAGCCCCGCCCCCTGAATTAAAAGCTCCGCCTCACAAATAGGCATGCCCCAAACCTTACTTTTGAGGAGAGACACCTGCTGCTGGTGGCAGCCAACGGGTGACAGCCCCACAGCTTTCCCTTCGGGCTTCCCTCTCCCTCCCACTGAGGGAATTTTTTTGGGGGGGGCATCACGGAACATGGGAGAAGACAACTCAGGAGGCATTTAAATGCCTTTTTTTGAGTTCCCTTTTACAGGGCAAGAAAGGTTTTGGAGATGTATTGAAGGTACCACTTCTTCTTCTCCTTCTTCTCCTTCTCAGTTGCCCTTCTCAGCCTTCTTGCCCTGTGGAAGGGAACTCAGAAGGCATTTCAATCAAACGCCCTCTTGAGCTGTTTTCCCCCAAGGAACGGAGGCGCTGGCTGCCCTGTCCCCTGAATGGAAGGGCTTGGAACAGGCTGGGGGCCTCCTCCTTTCAAGACAGGCATCCAGATTGATTTAAATGCCCCCAGTGCCTGGCTATGGGCCTGGGTTCATGTCTGTTGTGGAGGCCTCAGGAGGAGGAGGAGGAGATTGCATTCATACCCCTTGCCCTTCACTCGCAGTCCCTGAGCGGCTTACGATCTCCTCTCCCTCCCCCTCCCCACCACAGACAGACACCCTGGGAGGCGGGTGGGGCTGAGAGAGCTCTTTCGAGGACTGCCCTTGAGAGAACAGCTCTTATCAGAACTACGGCTTGCCCAAGGTCATCCAGCAGCTGCAAGTGGTGGAGTGGGGAATCAAACCCGGTTCTCCCAGATTACAGTCCGCGCCATACTGGCTTCTGGCTGCCTGGTGCAAGGCCAGAGATCAGTTCCTCCCTTATTGCTCTTCTCTCTCTCATACACTCCCCTGGAGTGTATGTAAATTCCTAGAGATTCCAGACATTGAGAGAATGTGGATCCGCTGCTGGAGAGAGGGGGAAGAAGAGGGAGAGAGAGAGAGAGAGCAGGTTAAAGGACGCCAGTGAGTGCTCTTGGGAGCACCCCCACCGCACATCTTGTACTTTCAACACAGGCGTGTTTGCCCCTCGGAAGAGAGGCTTCCATTTCACTCAGCTCTTTCCCCCCCCAGGAGAAGCGGAAACTGCTGGACGAAATCGAAGACCTCACGGTGCAGCTGAACGAGGAGCTGGAAAGTAAGCGGAAGCTGGGGGACAAACTGAGCCACGAGAGACACCAGTTCCAGAAGGACAAGGAATCCACGCAGGAGGTGGGCAGGGGGGTGGCGGAGGGAGATGTCGCCCGGACGGGGATTCAGGGCTGCTGGAAGTCAGCCAACGTTTGCACCAACAACCGAAAGCTGTGGGGGGGGCGGGGGGGGCTGTATGCGTGGGCAGCGCCGCAGGATGTAAAAGCATTCACAAGCCTGACTTTCTGTTTCGAAACAGCCACTGGTGGTGAACAACTGTCAAAAGCAAATAAAGCCATGGATGGGGGGAATCACAGCAGCCATAAAAAGGAAGCCTAGATAGAGATATATCTCCCTAGCAAACCCTGTATCTCTGTCTCTGCCTCTCTCGCTGTCTCTGTCTCTCTGTCTATGTCTGTCTCTCTCTCGTGCTTAAAACCATATTTAGGGATGTTTGAGACTAGGCTGCTGTGGTGTACGCATGTGATTCCAGAATGGCTGCACCACCACGGAGAAGGCCAGGAGCTGCAGATCAGATAGGTGGAGCCCAGGAACGGTGCCTCCTGGGCCGATGCCTGTGGCCAGAGAAGTGCATGCGAGGGAGGATGCTTTGTGGGTAATAACCAGCAGCTTGAACTGGGCTTGGGAAACTCTCGGGCAGCCAGTTTCAGAGGGTGGTAACCAGTGCTCCCTCTAAGCTGTGGAGTCTTGTGAGCAAAAATCCTACTTTGTGAGCTCAACTGGCATGAAAGCGGTGAGCTATGAGCGATTGGGCTGCTCCTGCATCAATCAGTTTGCTCCGGAGCCCCGTCCCTTCCTGAGCCGAGACAAAAATGTGAGAGCCCGAGGCGAAAAGAAACGTGAGCCCGATCACACTAACTCAGCTTAGCGGGAACACGGGGTATAATGTCCCCTCCTGCTCTCTAGAGACGGGCAGTGGGGGAGTATTATACCTGGGCCTCTTTGGGTTGCTCGGGGCTGCTGTTTTCTTCTCCAGTTCAGGTAGACAGAGAGGAAACGAGGAGAAGAGACGTGACTCTGATTTCAGAGGGATGGGCAGGGACAAGCAGTGTTTTAAGACCCGTTTCCGAATGAATTTAAAGATGACTGGGAAGATGGTTGCATGTCTCAGGAGCACCTCCTTTCGTTAGGAACAGTGTTGTCAGCCCCGGAAGGGCTTTGTGCCTTTGACATGCGTGGCTAGGACATGGGTCCGTTGAACTGTGTGTGTGTGGTATAACAGTCCCTGGACAAACCGAACTAGCAGGCAGGCCAGAAACAACGTTAGGCGCTGTTGAAGGAACCTCAGCCGTTGACCGTCCTGCCGCCCTTGCAGCTGATCGAAGACCTCCGGAAGCAGCTGGAGCACCTGCAGCTCTTCAAGCTCGAGGCGGAGCAGCGGCGGGGCAGGAGTAGCAGCGTCGGCCTCCAGGAGTACAACAGCCGGACGCGGGAGGCGGAGCTGGAGCAAGAGATCAGGCGGCTCAAGCAGGTACCCGGAGCTGGCTTGGGACTGGCTGGTGGCGGGAGAGGAGGGCCTGGAGCCGCTGCGTGCGGAGGGGCTGTAGCTTAGCCACAGGCTCCTTTGCCGGAGTAGAGTGCGGGCCCTTGTCGGTCTGCTGGGCTTTCCTAGGTTTATCTGAGAGGGGCGGCTTCAGTGTTTGCTGGTTGCATCTTCTGAGCAGAGGCAGAGAGGGACCGTTTTGCTATGCAAGGGTCCGTAGCACAGTGGTGGAGCCCGTCCACGCCGACAGGGGGCTCTGGGTTCAGATCCTGATACCTGGAGAGCCAGCGTGGCGTAGTGGGCAGAATGTCAAAGTAGTAAAGCCCCAGCTTTGACTTGGCTCTGCTATGGAAGCTCCCTGGATGACTCTGAAGCAGTTGCTCTTTCTCATGCTAATGTATCTCACAGGGTTGTTGTGAAGACGGAATGGAGGAGGGGAAAGCAGTGTTCTTAAGCTGCTTTGGGTCCCCGTTAAGGAGAAAAGCAGGGTGTAAGAATCTAAAGAAGTGGTTGCTTATGTACTAGGAGCCACTGAAAATGGTTGCTTTGACGTTCCGGGTCTTCCCTTGCAAACAGGATAACCGGAACCTGAAGGAACAGAATGATGAACTCAACGGGCAGATCATAAACCTCAGTATTCAAGGCGCTAAGAACCTCTTCTCTGCTTCCTTTTCTGAGTCTTTGGCAGCGGAAATCAGCTCAGTCTCCAGAGATGAGGTACGTTGGTGTCATGATCCTGGGCCTATAGTGGTGCGGCCTACAGGCTCTAGGGAGGCCTAGTGGCTCCAGGGAAGCCTGGATTAGAGTAGCTGTCAGGGCCTACGTTTCCCAGGTCCACTCTGGACCCTGGACTTGGAGGGAAAACTCACACCAGCAGAGGAACAGAGGGTGGTGCCTGAGAAGAAGGGAGAGAAGGCCTTGCCCAAAGCAGGAGGACTTTCTTATCTTGCCGGCTGACCTACCTTTACTGTGCTCATTTCCCCTACACGTGACTGAATCACGGTTGTCGTTAAATCTCTTCAATAGAAATGGCTTGTTACTCGGCCTGGGTCCTCCTCGCGCCTCATTCGGTCACTTATAAGGGGAAACCTCCTGGAAAGGGAGTGTGCAAAGGGGTCGGGTGGGCGCTCCGGGCCCTTCCGAGGAGACCACCCAGGCCAGAGTGGTGGCAGCCACTGGAGCGCCTTTCTAGCCGCTGCCCGCGACAGGTGGGGAAGCTCCTCTTGGATGGGTTGTCGTGTCGTATTTCCCCGACTCGAAAGGGGGAGCTGGGAAGACCAAGCAGATTGGTGTTTACCAGAGCACCCGCCTGGCTGGCAGGCAGACATTTCAGTTGCCAGCATCTCCAGCTGAAAGGATCGGGTTGGAAGTGATGGGAAAGACCCTGAGACCCTGGAGAGTTGCTGTCAGTCAGAGCAGACAATACTGACCTAGACCGATTTCCCACCAATTTCCCTCTGCGCTCGCTCCTCTCTTTGCCCCGATGGTTACGTGTCAATTTCCCACTCGAAGCCGGGTGGCCGCATTTTGACCCGCGGCTTCGCCCGATTTCCCCCATGGTTTAGTGTTCCTGTTTTTTGAGGATTACGAAACAGCGGGCAAAATCGGGCAAAGCCGCTGGTCAAAATGCGGCCGTGCGGCTTCGCGTGGGAAATCGACACGTACCATCGGGGCAAAGAGAGGAGCGGGCACAGAGCAGCGGCTGTGGGAAATCGGTCCTAGATAGACCAATAGTCTGATCCAGCGTGAGGCAGCTCCGTGTGTTCAGGCTCCTGGATCTCATTAGGAGTGGTGTCCCTCCTTGACCGTACCCCGTCCTCGCAAGTTCCAGAGACATTCGGCCAGAGCCGAAATCAGACGGAAGTGTGGTGACGTTTTGCCTCGGCAACGTAGTCTTCACGTTGAAAGCTTTGCTAGTTAGGGTTTAATTTTGGCATCGGGGGACACTGCCGAAACCGGCTGCTTGGTAACTAGCAACGACGACGAACAACCCCAGCTGGTGACGGCCACCGAAGATGGTTTTTATTCCAGCCAGTTTTTGAAGATTAGAAACCTTTATCGAGAATTTTTATTGTGTTTATGGGAGATTTTATAGCTCCTATAATTTTATGATTCCTCCTGTTAATTGCAGGGTTTTATTGACTGCGACTGTATATTTAATTACCCCTGCGTGTTGTGAAGAATCCCGGGGGCTTCCGAAAAGGGACGTGATGGGGGCTGTGCATGGGGAGGAAAACCAGAACAGTTGTACTTTTGTTTGGGGGTGGGGATTTGGGCCAGCGTAGGAAGATGAGAGTCCTGAATAATGTTAATTTCTCTGTGGTAGAGCCAAGGCGGGAGGAGGGCTGTATCAGCATCGCTTTGAGCAGCTCGGAGAGTAAAGATGGGATGGAAGGATTGTTTTGACCATCTCTTCTCTGATCAGCCCAGCCCTGTCAAGCTTTATCTATTGTGACTTCGTATATCGAATACATGGCCTCAAAGGGTGTCTGGTGTGGGGAGGAAAAGGGAATGGAGATTATAAAACGCTCTGAGACTCTGAGTGAAGGGCAGGGTATAAATCCAATCTCCTCCTCCTCCTCTCCTTCCTTCCTTCTCTTTTCTTTCTCTCTCTCTCTCTCCCCTCTTTCTTTCCCTGTCTTTCTTTCTTCCTTCCTTCCACAAAAATGACATGAATTCTCAATAAAGGTTTCTAATCTTCAAAAACTTGGTGGAATAAAAGCAGTCTAACATGAGAGCCAGTTTGGTGTAGTGGTGAAGAGCGTGGACTCTAATCTGGGAGAACTGGGTTTGATTCCCCACTCCTCCACATCCAGCTGCTGGGTGACCTTGGGTCAGTCACAAGTTCTTTCAGAGCTGTTCTCAAAGAGCCCTCTCAGCCCCATGCACCTCACAAGGTGTCTGTTGTAGGGAGAGGAAGGGAAAGGAGATTGTAAGCCGCTATGAGACTCCCGAGTGAAGGGCAGGGTATAAATCCAATCTCTCCTCTCTTCTTCTCTTTTTTTCTTCTTATAATACAGTCAGTGGGTTGGGTCCTGTAGCTCTCTTCTGCTTAGCATTTCTCCAGTGAAGAAAGGCTTTTGAAAAGTCTGTCTTTGGTGAAGGAGATGTTTCTCTTTTGGTAGAAGGCAGTCACAGGAATCAACCCTATAGTTTTTTTATTGGGGAGGGATGAGAAACTGTGAAAAACTAGAGGAATTCACAATAGATGGATGGAAACTTTCACGGTAAGTTGTGCGGGTTCCAGGGGCTGCTCTGGTGTCCGGGCCCAAGTCAGCTGCTGCGGAGTCACCTTTTCGTGACGAGCCTCCCTTCCCTTCCCTCCCTCCCAGCTCATGGAGGCCACTCAAAAGCAGAAGGAGATCAATCTCCGGCTCCAGGACTACATCGACCGGATCATCGTGGCCATCATGGAAACCAACCCGTCCATCCTGGAAGTCAAGTAAGCGGCCGCCGATTCTTGCTCAGGCTGACCCCGGGTGCAGCAGAGCGGCTGCTCTGGAGGAGGTGATGCCGGAGGAGTCTTTGCTTTGCGAAGAGATCGCAGGGAGCCTCACGGCGGACAGCGGGGCGAGGGAGCCCAGCAGACGTGGGGGAGCCAGGCGGCACGGCGGAGTCTGGTGGTTTTGAGGGTGGGAGGTGGAAAGGGGATCTTCGGGGAAGGAAGGCGAGCCACGGACACAAGCAGTGTGTGTGTGTGGGGGGGAGAGGTGAACACCGGCACCCTGCTGTAGGATGTAGGGGACACACGTGCCGTCATCGGAAACTTTTTTGCTCTGGGCTTGCAAAGCTGGGGACGAGAAAGCCGCGACTTGGGAACTCCTGGCAACTGCAAGGAATAAAGGGGCGGGGGGGGCTAGGTAGGGAGATGAAGGGAAGCAAAGGCCAAAATGCCACCCTGACGTCTTGCCTGTGCACCTCCACCTTCTGCCACCCGCGACCCGGACGCTCACCAAGGCACTCGGGAGCACGTCCCCGTCCTGGAGCTGGACTCTGTGTCTCAGAGGTGTCGGCGTGACGCGGAACGCAGCTGACGTCTCTCTCCTCTTCGGCCACCGGAAGGGGAGAGGCCCCGAGACTACCTGGACCGTTTTGTGCTCCCGGGTTTTGTTTGTACCCAGCCCAGAAAATGTTCCGTGGGATCTGTTGGCGTGTGGGTGAAAGTCTTCCTGGTCCCCCCCGTAAAATCCGTGGCTGGTGGATAGAGAACTTGGGCAGGGGGCTCTCCTGCTGGGGTGCCACGGAGGACTGGCAGTGCCCAGTGAGAGCCCCAGTGGCAGCTGCTGAGCCCTCTGTGGCACATCTGCTGGAACCAGCTGGCCAGAAGCTGGGCTGTGGGTGGGGGACGCTCTGCTGATGATACTGCAGCGCTGGAGGCAGAGCTGGAAACACCCCCCCCCATTCTGCAGCAACCTTTCCCCGCCCCCTTGGCTGCACGCCCTCGCTTCCGGCATGGCTCAGTCCCGCCCTCTCCCGTTCGGTTGCTTGAAGGCAGGTCGCCTGCTGGGACAGACCCCACGGGAGAGCAACGGAGGGTTGCCTCGGAAAGGGGCCCGCGCCGACACATTCCCCTTTTCCCTTCCAGCTGAACCTTGAAGCCGGTTCCGCTGACCTTGGATCAGTTTTGGCACTCCGCTCGGGAAAGGACGAGAGAAGCTTTGCCCCAAAGTTGCCGCACCACTTTCCCCTCCACTCCGTTTAAAGAAGAAAAAAATGCCGGTGCCTGAATATTCTGGGAAGCGGTTGGGAAGAGTTTTGTGAGTCTTCCTTCTCCGTTCTCCAGGGAAGAGGTGCGCTTAACTCAGAAGCAAAGAAGTGTGGCCCCTGTTCCCACTGAATGGGGAGGTGAATGGGGAGTGTTTTTATATCTGGCCTCGGCAGGTGGTTTTAAATCCTCTTTTGTTTGTCCCCCCCCCTCCTTTTAATGGCACAGGTGGGGAAAAGAAGCCCATGGTGGAAGAGGGATTCTGTGAGGGCAGGTTTGCGTTGTAGCTTAGTGCAAACATTAACACACACACCCCCGAGCCGGAGTGCCCAGCGACCCAGTGTGCGGCTCTGCCATGAAGGCTGGAGACGGTGAGCCTCACATTCCCCTTAGAATCCCCCTTGGTCCTCTCCCCTCTTCTGTCTCTAAAGCACAGACACTGCAGTCACACCACATCCAGTCGCAAGGAGTGGGGCGTGGTCACTCCAGTCAACTAGGCTTCTAGTCCTCATGAGGCAGGAGCGAGCGGCCGTGACCAACAGATCAGGCTTCCTGGAGAACCAGACAGTGTTCTAGTTCTTTAGTCTTTGGGGTGCGACGGAGCTGCATGGTCCTGTTATTAAATGGAAAACGCACCAAAGGGAGCGCATCACTGGCTTTTCCACCACTAAGTGAGGTCGCGCCAGACCAGGTCGCCAGGAGGATTTTGCAACATGTCAGCCAGCTTGCATGAAAATAGCTAGCTTGAAGCAAACAGCAAGGGGGCATTAAATGCTTCTGCAGTTTCTGGGGGATAAAATGGGAGCGTGCACGTGGGGGGAGGGGGGGCAAAGGACAAAGGGGCACGGAAGTGGAGAACTGCTTCTCTGCTCCCCCCTCCCCACCCACAAAACAGTCCTCAAAGCCTGGATTGATCAGGCACCTCTCTCGGCGCTCCCCTTTTGCCTCCGCAGGAAGGGCCCGCGTGCCGCACAGCCCTGGAGGACCATTTGGGTGTAAATCAGTGTATACTTGGAGAGGGAAAGATTTTGTTTTCCTTTTTCTATCTTGTAGAGTTAGGTATTTTTTTATAGAATGAAGGCTGATCGATTTTTTAAAAACTTCAAAGAAGAGAGCAATGTATCTGTGTATACACACACACTATATATATGTATGTATGTATGTATAATGTACAAATCTATAAATATTAGATCTGCCTTTCTCAACTTGGGCACACGTTCTGTCCACGACAAAGACACACGTGCACCCACCCCCACCCCGCCTTCCGGCTGATCACAAAAAGGTACTGTAATGTAAATAAATCACAGGAGAAAAACAATTTAAACCAACGACGACAAAAAAATTAAAAAAGCGAAGCACTGGCTTGCACATGGCTTTAATTTCCTGAGGAAAAACTGTTCTTCCCTGCTGGTATGTGAAGGCATTTCCCCAGAAAGAGGCAAACGGTGTCTGTCTTAACGGGTGTACCGACTCTTGTCTGATTAAAAGCTGTTACCGTCTCTTTGCAGGAAACTCGGCTGGGCTTTGTTTGTTTGTTTGTGTGGCTTTCGTTTCTTCTCGCGCACGGGAAATACTGAAAGGAAAACGCAGAAATATTTGTATGGACTTGAGTTACAGTTATGAAGGATGATGAGTAAGTAGAACCTCCGGGTTCAGAAGCAGTGTACCCCTGAATGCCAGTTGATGGGGAAACCACAGGAGGGCAGTTGCCAGGAATTGTCCCATCTGTGGGATGCGGAGTTCTGCTCCTCAGCTTCTGCAGGAGTCTTGATTCCGGAACGAAGGCGATGGAGGACTGACAGCCACTAGGAACTGCATCTGCAGTGGGCAGAAGATCTGGGATTCTCGGGGGGTAGGACTGGGGGGTAGTTTGGGGCTACAACTGAGCTAGGAACTATTTTGCCTCGCAGAAAAGGTCTTTAAGGTTCCAAAGACTCATGACCAGTCTTGCAGGTCTGTCTTCAAAAGGTCCAGTCCCCTGGCCCAGGAGGAGGGGTGGAGACGGACGTCTAATACTTCCATCACCTCCGCATGCTGTTTTCTCAGTTTAAATGGCTCTCTCGTCTCCCCAAAGCCACTTTTTTGGTCACAGAACACACACGAGGAGAGCTTAAAACAACTTCAGGGAAAGGGAAGTGTCGCTTGTCAGTGCTGCTTCCTAGTCTCATGAGAGGGCGCCTTTTTTTGGCCGCCTGAAATAGCCCAGCAAATCTAGTCGGAGATTTCCAGCTGCCTTCTGTAGTCTGGGCCTAATCCTTGCCCTCCTCTCACTCTGTGTGCGCGTGCGTGCGTGTCTGTGCAGGGCGGGCTCTTTTGATGGACTCCTCTGCAGCTGCCTTCCAGAAGGGTGCTAGCCACTGAACGTGAAGGGACTGGGATGCTTGACAAGCATACAGAAAACCTTGAACAAATCCAACAAAACATGTTGGGCAGGAGGATCCAAATAAAGTAGCCCTGTGAGTTGAAGGGGCTTTAGCCTTGTTTCCCCCCCAGTTTGCTATAGTGGTTAGGAGTACGGACTCTAATCTGGGGAGAACTGGGTTTGATTCCCCACTCCTCCACGTGCAGCTGCTGGTGTGACCTTGGGTCAGTCATGAGTTCTCTCAGAGCTGTTCTCTTGAGCAGTCCTCAAAAGAGCTCTCTCGGCGCTCCCCACCTCACTGGGTGTCTGTTGTGGGGAGGGGGAGGGAAATGAGTTTGTAAGCCGCTCCGAGACTCCTTTGGGTACTGAAGGGCCATGGGGTATAAACCCAATCTCTTCTTCTTCCTTGAACAATAGCCCCCCATGGCTGAAAGGCGATGTGCTTTCCAAAGGATGGGGGACGTTTCAAAAGCAGCTTCGTGAACACTGGTGTAGCTGACCGTTCGAAACGGTTCCGCTGGCCCCTGCGACAAGGTCCCTGCTCGAGTCAAAAAGGCTTTTCACATCCAGGCCCTTTAGAAGGATTTAAGTTACCATTTGAGATGGTGTAATTTGAGAACTGGGGACATGTCAACATCTGGCAAACCTGATCGCGTGTTCAAAAAGGGGTGGAAGGGATAAGTCCAACTTCTCTGCCCATCAGTAGCCCAAAGCACTTCACGTTAATTTAGGACCACTTAAAAAAAAAAAAAAAGCTGCTGGTTGCATAGGATAACCCCATGTAATGCTCACCCCTCCACACAGCTAGGGAGTTGAAAGGCACGCTGCCCACAGAGGAAGACTGCCATCCATGTGACTGAGATCCCATGTTTAAAGGGCTTTTGAGAGCGGTAGTGTAGTGTATTCTTCCCCCAGCCTTTTCATCTGTAGGATGTCAGGCGTCTTTGGCCAGCCCATGGAACCGGTCCTTTCCGCATTCCCCTGCCACTCCAGATTTTCTCTGTGTTCAAGTCGAGAAGATTTAAGTCCACGGCAAGACAGCATCCAAATAACCCGGGGGCGACAGCAGGCTGAAACCGGGCTGACCACCAAAGGGAGGTAATAGAAGAAGAAGAAGAAGAAGAAGAGATTGGATTTATATCCCGCCCTTCACTTGTAGTCTCAGAGCGGCTTACAAACTCCTTTCCCTTCCCCTCCCCACAACAGACACCCTGTGAGGTGGGTGGGGCTGAGAGAACTCTGACACAAACTGCTCTTTTTCAAGGACAGCTGTGCCAGAGCTTGTGACTGACCCAAGGTCACATCAGCAGGTGCAAGTGGAGGAGTGGGGAATCAAACCCGGTTCTCCCAGATTAGAGTCTGCACACTTAACCACTACA